GAATTAGAGAGTTATTGATGCCCCGTACATCATGAGGGGGTATTTATAGAAAAAAATGTGCTGAGGGAACACATGAAACCCTAAAAAGATGAAAACCCTAAAAAAATTCACCACGACACGACAGTGGGCACCATGTCACGTGGAATCCCACCGTTAGACGGGAGAGGATACCGTGACAGGGTGGATAGCTGTGTGACGCTGGAAATATTTAGGGTACGGGGAAGAAAACGCGTGAAGGGTTTACGCGGAAAGGACACAGAATTGCCCCGTGTCACAGCAGGGGCACCGTGTCACGGAGAATCCCACCGTCAGACGGGGCATGTTCCCGTGACACGGTGGACAACACTTGTGACGTGGGATCCTGTATTCAGCTTTTCCGTCTAATTTCAGTTCTAACCCTAATTTCGTTCAGCATTTTTAAGTGCCGGTTGATAATTTCAGACCATTTCTGACTTTTTTTTATTTATTAATTGGGCCAAAATAATAAATGAATTAAATAAAATAAAAAGGTTTGGGCCAAAATTAAGAATGAACTATGCTTAGACTAAACATCAAGACTGATCCATGTATTATTTTATGAACTGAATTCGATTGAACATGAATTTTAAGCACTCCCGGGATTAAATACTCAACCCGACCAAATAATGGGGTGAAAGGTTGTTCTTCATTGGGTTTGGTTTTGGGGAGACATTTTTAGGTGTCTACAGAAGCCCCCACTTTGACTGAGTTTGTAGAAACGTAAGTTTCGAAAACGATAGTCAAAGTAGTCGATAGGGAAGGAGAATGATTTAAGGCGTTCTGCGATTCTAAATCACTCTGTATACACCAATACCTGCAAAAGAATGTTAGTTCCACAGTAAAAGAGTAAAGGGATAGAATGCATATCTGGTGTATCGGTGACAAATGAGTTTGGTAGCTTCCTATGCTTGAAGGAATCCACCGGATGATGTTTTGTTCAAATGCTTTCCAGGCTTGAGGAAAGCTGAATGATGAATTTGGTAGGTTTCTATGCTTGAAGAAATCTATCGGATGACATTTTTCATGCTTGAGGAAAATCGACAGATGATTTTGGCGGTAATCTATGCTTGAAGAATTCCACCGATTATACTTTCTATGATTGAGGAAAGTCGACAGATAAATACTTCCCATTCTTGAGGAAAGTCGACAGATGAACTTGGCGGTTTTCTATGCTTGAAGAAACCCACCAATAATACTTTCCATTATTGAGGAAAGTCGATAAATGAGTACTTTCAATTCCATCCTCGAGGAAAGTCGATAGATGATATAATCGCTGACTTCTTCGTGTATCGAGAATCTTGCGCCGGAATGATGGTGGTTCGATTGTCCCCGAACGTGGGCCGTAGATGATTAACCTTCAAGTCGACTATTCGACCATATCAGGTGTTTAAAATGTCGAAAAATAGACTTTGATGTTTGCTAGGGGTAAAATGGTAATTTTAGTCCCCTTTAAATATCAGTTAGAATTTTCCGCGCATTTTCAGTGAGAAAATAACTGTCCAAAAACCTCGGAAAATCGTTCAAACTGGTCAAAGATGGCAGGAATATTCGCTGACTGCATTAAAAAGCGTGCAGGGCAAGCAGCAAGGCCACCGTGCCACGTGGACACATCCCGCGACACAGTGCATGACCCCGTTAGACGGTGGAGAATCACGTGACGCGAGGCTTTTCTCCCCCCTTTTTTATTTTAATTTTTTTGAAATGTTATCGTGACCTGGTAACGGGGTTCGCGGCACGGGATGCTAGCTTAACGGTATTTTTCCCCTTAAATACTAACTGGGTCTTCCCCATTTTCTCACTCCTTCTTCACCATTTTCGATCGGCTGCTCTCTTTCTCTTCTCCATTTTTTTTTCTTTTTTATTTTTTAAAAAAATTTACCCAGACCACCGTGCCACGACCGACGTCACTGGCAATCGAGGAGACACACCGTGACACGATGTCCGGCTGCGCACGGCTACCCTTTTTTTTTATTTTTTTGTTGCCGCTGCAGCTGCCTGAGCTCTACTATGTTCTGCTACTGCTGCCGGAGCTCCGCCACCGTCCCCAAATCATCGTGACACGAACTCAGGTGACCGTGTCATGGCGTCAGCTGCTCGTGCCACGGTGGTTGCGGTTGTGGTGCTGAACAATTTCAGCGATTTTTCGGCTTTTGGAACTCAATTCTTTACCAAATTCACTCCGGTTTTTTTCTAGTTTCCTCATTTTTGATTTCTCACAAGGATACATGTAAGTTTCCTTTGCTTATGTCTCAAATTTTGTTGTAAATTCCATACTTGCTTGAAACCCTAAAAAATCAAATTTGGGTTTTTTTTTTTTATTTTGAGCTTCCATGTTAACATTCTTGCTATGAATTGACTTGTATATGTATGCATGCGTGTTTGGGAGCAATTTGAGACAAAAATTGTATGATTTGGTGAAGAAATGAGCAAATCACCCCTTTTGGTACTACCTTGTACATAAATGATGTTCTTGTTGTTCATGTCATTTTTTTGCACTTAAAATGGTTATATATTAGTCGTAGATCTTGTAAAATATGTTACAATGTGTCGATCTATTGTTTTTGTGCAATTTCGAAACATGCTCTGCTTTATATATGTACTATATTGTCATGGAGAACATAGTATCATGTGGTTAGGGAAACTGTAGTATTAGTTGTCATGGAGAAACTAAATACTAGTAATAATTCCATTATTTTGCTAATTCTTAGCCTTGAGGTAAAAATTTAGCATATAACAGAAGATGCAACTTGAGATAACTGTTAAGCTGTTTTTGAATAAATAACTAAATAACTTAGGAAATGATGCTAAGTATTTAGATTTTTATTTTTGAAATAGCATGCCTAGACAACGGGATCGCGATCTTTCTACTCATGGCCGGCGTCAGGATTTTCAGGAGGACACTCCCACAGTTCCTGAGGGCATGGAAGACGATGCCCTAGAGACCGAGCCTCGCCCTTCTTCGAGTAGGGGCAGATGGGTTCCACCTCCTTGGTCGCCAGATGAGTTGGTTTTCTGCCGTTAGAACCACGTTTCTCACCGTCCACTTGCCGGCATAGTCGATGGCACGCTTCGCCATCATGGATCCGGAGCTGGAGATTTGGTTCCTCGACTATATGGGATTATCACGAGGGATCCTGTTACGAACGCCTTGTGGGAATCTGCTGGTTTAGTAGACTTTTATTTGGCGGTCGTAGGATTTCGCAGCCCCCGGGGTTGTGACCCGACAGTCGTTCGTGTGTTGTTGGAGTATTTTTGGGATACTACCAACACCTTTCACTTCGCTTGGGGGGAGATGACAGTGACCCCTCTAGATTTTAGCATGATTAGCGGTCAACGCTTCACCGATCGGGTCGTTCGGTAATTTCTTGACCTTACCTGGGGGGCGGCTGAGGTAGCGGATTTGTTAGGTCCTGTCGTCCAGCACATTAGGACTCAGCCGGTGCCTCGAGGTGGTCCTAGGAGCGGGCGATCAGAGTTGGCTTCTGTTCTGGCCTGTGGCTTTGACATGGATGAGAAATCACCTGAGTAGTGAGTAGTGAGTGTGGATCTTCATTTTGATTCTCAATTCTGTTACTCTTTCTCCTGATAGGAGTTCGCGTGCGCTCGTTTGCTACCTTCCATCTTTGGTAAGGATTAGTGAGATAGGATCCTTTAGTTGGGCTAGCCTTGGATATGCCGATCTTCTCTTGTCGCTATGTCATGGTTGTAGGCAGCTAAATGACCAGGCCCCTGTGACTGTCTACGGTTTATGGAGAGTCGTAGAGGTGACGATCTTTCCTCTTCTTGTTTTGTTTTAATCTGTTTGACTCATGTGCTCAGATTTTACTTTTCCATGCAGCTATGTTTCTATGAGTACTTTTCGGGACGACGTCGTGGAGCGGTCCATGACTTCCTTGTCGGAGCTAGCTAGCGTGACCGAGGCGAGTCACGAGTGGAGTCTGTCCCAATGCTACGCGGGCTGCTACGCCGAGGCACCTCTTCTGTTGGTGTAAGAATTGATTTTACAGCCTGTTATTCTCTACCTTGACGTCACTTTCAGCGTTTCATTGCAACTTTTTATGGTTTTCAGGTTGCTATTGATATCCAGTATCGGCCTTGGGCTGGGATGACTGATCTTACTGAGGCCTTGCAGCTTTCGGCATACGTACCGTACTGTTTTTGTTGGTACTGGACGCTTTGTTTGGTATCTTGGGGAGCGTGTTGTTCGTCAGCACAATGATGATCGCTTTATGGTGCCCTTGCCTCCACCGGAGTCGATACTAGACTCACGTTTGCTTAGGGAGTTGATAAACAGGGGAGAACGCTTCATGAATTGAAATTGTTATGGAGTGGGGTTGATGCTTTTGATGCTTATGATGGAGAGAAATTTAAATTGCGAGCCGCTTTGCTTTGGACTATTAATGACTTTCCTGGTTATGCAATGCTCTCCGGTCTGAGCACCAAAGGCTATATGGCATGCCCTATATGCATTGATTCAACTCCTTCTGAAAAATTTGGGAGTAAGACTTGTTATTGTGGGTATCGAAAATGGCTTCCATCATGTCATCCATATCGATTAGAGAGTGACAGTTTTAACGGAAGAGAAGAGCATGGTGAAGCTCCACCTCGGCCTAGTGGGACTGACATATTGGGGCTACAAGAAAAGGTTGGGTATGTTTATGGGAAGGCATCAAAAAGAAAGAGAGGTAACGAGGGTAACAATGAAGAAGATGTTTTCATTGGTACCAAGAGAAGCATATTTGATATTTTAGAGTATTGGGAGCATAATTTGTTGAGGCATAATCTAGATGTAATGCACATAGAAAAAAATGTGTGTGACAATATTTTAAATACTCTCTTAAATACCGATAAAAGCAGAGATAAGAAGGATGATCGAGATGCCCTTCAATGATGGGGCATAAAGCCACATCTTTGGGTTCAAGATAATCATATGCCTTCAACTTCTTATTCTATGTAATCATATGCCTTCAACTTATTATTCTATGTCTGTAGAGGAGAAAGAGAGGTTCTTAAAAGTTTTACGAAAACTCAAAGTCCCTGATGGCTATGGATCTAACCTTTCTAGATGCGTGAACATGAAGCAAAGAAGGTTGATAAACCTTAAGAGCCATGACAACCATGTTTTGATGCAAGATATCCTTCCCGCCGCATTAAGAGCTTCTAATGCAACAAAAGTAATTGATTTGCTTGCAAAATTGTCTTACTTTTTCAAGCAATTATGCTCCACTACTATTGATCCTGATGATCTAGATGCTCTTTTAGAAGGAATTGTATTAACCCCTTGTGAGTTGGAAATGGAGTTTTTGCCTTCGTTTTTCACAATCATGGTTCATTTGCTAATTCACTTAGTGGAGGAGGTTAAACTCGGTGGGCCAGTACAGTACAGATGGATGTATCCCATTGAGAGGTTAGATTTATTTACATATATGTCTAATCTAAATTCATCTAGAAAATCTATAAGTGTACTGTATTTTAATTATAATTTGACTTTTTGAAAAGGTACTTGGCCCATCTAAAGTTAAATGTAGCTAATAAAGCCCAACCTGAAGGGTCAATTGCAGAAGGCTACCTTTTAGAGGAGACCATTAGGTTTTGTTCAAGATATCTTGAAGGTGTTAAGACCGTCTTTAACAAACCTAAACGAATTGATGATGATTGTCCCAATTCTGGAAAATACTTGTGTAATTCTGGCGGTCGAGTAATAGGGAAAGAAGTCAATTTCCGTCTAGATGGCAAAAGCTTAAAACAAGCTCATCGCTATGTTTTACTGCATCATTCTGATGAAATTCAAGATCTTCTCGATTAAGTAGCAGGTTTTATTCTATTTTATGAATAACCAATTATTATAATATATCATTATAAATTATAATTTATTTTCCTTTCTTTGAAGAGAATTTTTAAATCTAAAGCGACAAATGAATACACATAACCCAATCACTGAAAGTGATGAAAGTGATTGGATCATCAACGAGTTTGGAGAGTGGTTGCGAAGTCAGGTGATATATATGTATCCTAATGTGTTCAAATTTCTTACAAAAATAGCAGACTGTTTTTGACTTTATATTCTACCATGATAGGTACACTCAATAGATGAAACCACCGAAGATGAGAAATTTAGAAAAATTCTGGCAGGGGGATTGAATTGTTATGGTAAAAAAATGAAGGGCTTTAAGATCAATGGGTATAAATTACAGATCATGGACCGTGATAGTCGTTTGACTACCCAAAATTCTGGAATCATGGTTGAAGCAGATGGAGAAGCATACTATGGGAAAGTGAAGGATATATATGAATTGGACTATTATGGGACTTACAAAGCTATATTGTTTCATTGTGTTTGGGTAGACATACATAGGGGTGTTAAATCAAATCAAAATGGCTCTATATGTGTTAATTTCTCTAAGTTGATGCATTCAGGAAGAAATTTGCAAGATGACCCTTTTATTTTCTCATCTCAAGCAAAACAGGTTTTCTACATTGAAGATGAGATACGAAAAGGATGGTTTCATGTTGTAAAGACTAAGCCTAGAGACTTGTTTGATTAAGGGGATGAGTTACCCGAAGTAGATAACGACAATGAATGATTAGTTTCCTATTTATTATTTAATTTGGATTTGTAATTGCTGAATTTAATTATGAGTTGATATTTGTCATTAATTAATATTTCCTTTTGCTGAATTTATCCCTTTACTTTTTGTTAATTTATCCTTTTATTTTCTCATTTGGATTTGTAAATATGCATCTTTTCATTTATTTTTAAAATTAATCTTTCGTTTGAATGAAGGATAATAGTTACCTTGTTGGAGTACTATCAAATTGCTTTCAGACATTCTATTTCTCTGTCTTCTGAATTTTGTGATGAAATCACATATTTACTCTAAACTAAACCCTTGGTTTGCATTTAGGCTTTATAGTTGGGTCGCATTCAGTAGAGAAGGGGTAATCTACTTATGTATAAAGCTGGAATTCTTTCCATGAATGTTTGTTACAATATCCAATATAGGGAGCCATTCTCCTTGTTTTTTTCTTTGTGAATCTTCTTTGATGATAAATGGCAAGTTGAAGATTGGTTAGCATTTAGAGCATTTGATCTCTGTCTAAATGTTAGAAACTGTATGTTAAAAGCTAATGTACCACAAATTGGTGTAAGATCAAATCTGCAGTAGTCGGTAAATAAATATGCCCAATTCGTTTTCAAGTCTCTAACCACCTTATTAAACATAGATGCTATAATTGGTAAAGTTTGATCACACATTGGTCAGTTCATTGGAAATTAGGAATACATTTAGAGTAGCTATTGGAAATCTGTTTTCAAATAATGCAAGTATATTTATTCTTATACAGTAGATTTTATTGTCAATTTTTCTTTTTAGGAAACATTTTCTGTCGATATTTCTATGCTGTTTCGATTAATGTCTTTTGCCTTTAAAGATTAGTTATTGATCATTAAATTCTCTCGATATTTTTATGCTGTTTATAAGGACATTCGATCTTCAAAGGCGAAAATAACAATTATTTAGGGCGGAGGGATTGAAAATACGGATTACTGTTTTAGTACTTTTTATAGCTATGTCATGAAAAAAAAAGCAACTGTAACAACTTGGTAGGATTCTGTTTGATAAGTGATGAGGAAATGTGGATTTTTTAATACCAGAAAAATTCTGAAAGATCACATCACAAATCCGAGAGAGAAAAGAGTAAAGTATACACAATGAAACAACAGTAATGGACCTCCTGTATTCGCCGCTGATGCTACAACCCTTTTCCTCTGTTGTCTGTCTAATAAGTTACATATTCTCTCCTTCCCTATTATCTTGCTATTGCCAATAGTCGTTTGCTTGTGTCAGTATTGCATCCCATCAGATATAGTTAGTCACACGATAAGGTTTAGAGATCTTAAATCCATTATATTTACACAGTACACGTGTTAGTGAGAACAGAGGCTAGCTTCCATCAGACCAACTCACTACCTAATCACACAAGCAGATCCGTTATATTCTGATTATAGTGGTTTTAGTGTGATGTAACTTTATTTCTATCTCATGCTAACCATGATTTTAAATAAAAAGAAAATGTCTGAACTCAGAAAAGCTGCTCGTGCGTCGCAAGTTCTCGTGCGCAAGAGTGGTGCTAAAAGCTTTGCAAATCGCAGAGCTATTCCGGTATAATTATCCTTCATTTTATTTAGTCCTAAAATTTGCATTTAGTGTTTTTTTTTTCTGTTTGACTATCTTACAAGATTTGGAAGAAAATGTAACTTCGTCAATTTAAAAGACTTAAAATAGCAGAAGTTAAATGTCATATATTTGTATGTTTCTCACATTGCAGAAAAAACAAAAAGGTGATTTCAGTGAATTGGAGTTTTTTAAAAGTGTTTACAGCGAAGGAGATGGAAGTTTCAAAGAGGGCACAACATCTCGTCAGTTTGTGGTATATATACCAATGAAAATTAGTTTAACCACTAATTTATTAGCTCTTTTCCAAGTCTTATAGTTTTCTTATCATGTAACAGGAGGATGCAATCAAGAAGGTGCAAGAAAGCCTTGATAACTCCTCTTCTTCCATTCCCAAGGTTGATATTGAAAATGAAGTTTTCAATCAACTTATTTATCAAGGCGAGATCCCTAAGCGTCCTCTAAATTATGGTTTTGGTGTGAAGCAAAGAGACATCTTTGTAGTGGAAGGACATTTAAGGAAAGAAGGGTCTTACTATGTCAACAATAGTGATATGGAAGTGGAGAAGTTGAAGGTTACACTGTTAGATATGAAGAAGCAAAATGAGGATCTTGCTGAACAAAATCAAATATTGAACACAAAATTTGATGCAGTTGGTTCTATGATGGCACAGGTTTTGAAGGCAACACGTAGTGGAAATGTTTCATCAGAAGTTATAGATAATGCAATACAACTACTTGATTCTCAGGTTTGGAATAAACCATTTCTTTTTTCATCCGCTTCCTTTTTTTTTAAATTTCCTTTCATTATTTGTGGCAAGATATAAAATTTCCTTTCATTAAAATTTCCTCAAGATAATGCAATACAACTACTTGATTCTCAGGGCTGAATCTATATTCCGTGGAATCGTACGGTTTTTAAATTCTGTATTATTGGTTTAGCTTCCTTGGTGCACCTTCTTTGCATCATGTGGTTTTCTGTAGCAATATAATCAAGAGACTCGGTTTGTCTTAAACGACAAGACAGAAAGCTACATTAGAATATTTTAGCTATATGCTACAGAACTATGAAGTTACCTTCGTAAATTCCTTATAGTCAGAATGATATAATGTGAGCAATAAAACCTAATATTTGAGAGGCACATATCCTAAGAATGATGGTTTAATTCATATGTTCAAGATGAAAGTGGATAAAGTTATCTGGAATATTGCGCATGTCAAGGTTTTAGTCAGAACTTTTAAGTCTGTTGGCACATATCACTGATGACTTAGGCACTTCCAGTCGTGTAATTGTGGATACTCAGCATCTTCTGCTCATTTATTTGAGAAATAGTAGGAGAAAATTTTATTCAAATGCCGAGACAAAACGCCTGTTGTCTGCTTGACTCTACTATAACACCACATTGCAAATTTTTCTGACCGACTTAAAATTTTCTAAGATCAATCAATAATAATGATGCTGAATAAGACTATAAGAGCAGAACTACATAAACAAGTGTGTCAGCTTACCTGAATTTATTAAGGCTGATGTGAGTTTTCTGTTTCTCTTGATCTCCTTGAGTTGCTTGATTTGCTACACCTGTTCACATACTCTGATGTTCTTGACAGTACATCTATTATTGAGGATAGCTTTGAATATGTTGATGCACCTATTGTGAGGATTGCTGGTGTCGACGTACCAATGCCTTATGCACCTTTTTTTCCATCCACTTCATTGCAGGATTGCTATTTTAGGTGGTTTTAGGTTTGATTAGGGAGAAGTGGTGTTAGTTAGAGGCAAGTTAGTACGTTTTAGTTAAATATTTGAAAGTTAGTCATTTTATATAGCTAGATTGATAAAGAATAAAGTAAAAAAATATTCACCATTTATTAATAATTAAAAAATTACTTATGGTTGCTGCGAGAATGATGAAGTATGTTACTGATTATGGGGAGTATGCTAGTAGGGTGTTCAAGCCCCCCTGCAATGCTCACTCCTGTTGTGTCTTCGTGGAAGTGCCCAGGGGTTGGTTGGGTTAAAATTAATTGTGATGCTCACATTGGCCAAGCTACAAGGCTGCTGCTTGCAGGTATGGGCTGCTCTAGGCGTCCAGGTTGGGGTACAGCAGAGTGATTATTGAAAGCGATGCCCAGCTTGTTGTACGTCGTCTCAAGCAGCAAATGCAGGGGTTTGATCCCTTTAGTTTGCTGTTGGATGATAGTTTATCCATTGCTAATTTGCTAGTTCTTTTTTTGATTTGTCGTTTTCTCATATTAAAAGGGCATGTAATATTTGGACCATATTAAACAGACATTTTGCAGTTTGTTATCTTTATCCCTAATATTTGAATAGGAATGTCATTTGTTATTAGCTGAGCACATACCGCCTTTAATAGCAATGGGTTAATTACTTGTGTTGTGCAAGAAAGTGACTATTTAGTACAAAAATTCTTGTTAGCTAGGCGTATCACTGGAAAATTATGTGCTTGGTTTACGTTCCTCTATGGCAAATATTTTATGTTTAACTTCTCTAATTTTGCAATACTACTACTACAATAATTGTTCACATATCAAATTTTCTTCGCAGGTTGTTGATGATGTAGGCAGCAATGGTAAAAAGTAAATTAAGAGCGTGATTTGGCTTCAAGCACTCTTATTATATATATGTGTGGGTATTTAGTAGCTTTGATAGCGTTGTGTGTAATTAGTTTGGACATCTTTTTTAGGAAAATATCTATATATCTCTGTATTCAAATACTACACTTGTTTAGTTGAATTGGATGTATAACGTTATTATGTAAACGGATTTATATATATATGTGTGTGTGTTTTTTTCTATATATATATGTTACTTTTTGTAAATACATTTTCATCAATTATGATTATATATATATATATTAATTATTATTATTATTATTATTATTATTATTATTATTATTATTATTATTATTATTATTATTATTTTGGTTGTTTACAGTTTTATATAAGTACTTCATTAATTTAATTTTATCAATTTTCGTCCAAAAAAATAGGGGGAAATAGTGACGCTTTTATAAATCAAAGTTATTGGTGGTATTTAAATTGTTGGAAATAATATATCATCATTTTGACACACAAAAGTGTCACAACTTTTTAAACAATGACTAACAAAAGCGTCACAAGGTTTTGGACATTAGTAATGGTGGGAAATACAGCCCCCAAGTTGACACACAAAAGTGTCATAATTTGATAGTAATGACTCAAAAAAGAGTCATAATTTTTTAGTAATGACACAAAAAAGTTTCATAATAATTTAGCGATGACACACAAAAGCGACATATTATACTTATAAATTGACACAAAAAAGCGTAAAATATTTTGGCTTCAAAAATTTTGACGCTTTTAAAAGCGTCAAAATAGAAAATTATGACGCTTTTTAAGGTCAATATATGTACAATAAAGTGTCACAATGTGCCTTGTTTTTTTTGTAGTGCTAGACTTTCAACATCTTCACTTCATTCGATTATGATTCGACGCGAAAGGTACTCATCACCGGGTTTGGTTTTGGGGAGACACAAATGGGTGTCTACATAAGCCCCCACTTTGACTGAGTTTTGAGAAACGCAAGTTTCGAAAACAAAAGTCAAAGTATGGATAGGGACGGAGAATGATTCAGAACGTTCTGCGATCCTAAATCACTCTTATAATGCCGATACCTGCAAACTAGCGTTAGTTCAACAGATAAAAGAGTTATGAAATGCGTATCTTGCACCGTCGAGCACACGTCTCTAGAGGTAACCGATTTGTTGCTGTATTGTTGTATGTTTTACAACCTCCTACAAGCTAGAGAATGCTGCCTGAAGACTGCTACGCTTGTAACTGCCTCCAATTCCTCCATGATAGACTTCTGCAAGCTAGAGAACCCCATCAAAGATTTCTTCTCTTGAAACCACCTTCTAGCACTTTGTGACCATCTTTCGCAAGCCAAGGAACACGATCGAAGACAACTTCGCATGAAATCACCTCCAGTTGTTTGTGACAACTCTCCGCAAGCTAGGCAACGCTTCCGAATATATCCTCGCCTGAAGCTATCATCATTTGTTGCGATAATATTCCGAGGAAAATTACTGAAGACCCACACTTGTCGATCTTTAAAAGCTCGCTTGAACTTTGCTTCCGCTATGCCAGTACGTCAGCGCTTTTGCTGCTTTAGAACCTGTATGTCGGTGCCTTCTGAATTTTATGAACCAATATGTGGGTACTCTTTGCTGAATGAACCAGTATGTCAGTGCCTTGCGATGAGCCAATGCTTAGGCGCTTTAAGCCAAGTAAGACTATCATTCATCAAGTCGATCACTTTATGTAATTGTAATCAAGCCGATTACCAAATCATGTCAAATTGCTTAGAGGGGCTAACTGACGTACCAAGGAACCCAAAATATTGCTATATTAGGTCGAAATAACCGCACTGAGTGGCTGAACAGTCTATCGCCGCTGAAATATTGTTGGCGTCGCATATATGGCTCTAGCGCCAAACGCTGGCACTAGTGCCAGGCGCTTAGGCTTATCGTCTGGTGCTAAGGCCTGTCACTTTGCACTAAAGTCGGGATTTCCATATATACCCCTTTCTTCTTCATTTTCATTGTTGCTGCTCGTTTTTGCTCGAGAATCGCCCGGAACTTCAATTCATCCGTTCTTGCTCGTTTCTTAACCGAATTTGCTCAAATTTGTTACAAATCAAAGCTTATTCCATCCTTTTTCCCGATCTATGTAAGTTTTCTCCAAACTCACTCCGGTTTTAATGAATTTTGCGCATGTTTGTTCACAAATTTCTTGAAAATTCAAAACTTGAATTGCTTAATTCACTTTGGTTGTCAAATTTTATGCCATGGAATTGCGTGATTATGTTTATATATTGCCTTATGAGTAATTTGAGACATGTTTGACTCAATTTGGTGAAGAAACGAACAAATCACTATTGTTGGACCTCTTAAGGTCGGGAAGACAATGTGGCTTGTTCTTGGTGTTTTTGCTAGCAATTCTTGTCCAATTTGTCACAATAATTACCGTAGTATTGCAAGAAATTGTTTGGATGCTTGAAAAATGTCGTATATGCTCAATTTAAATTTGTGCTATGTTTTAGTACTACGTACTCTATTTTTTCGAACATAGTATCATGCGGCTAGGCGAACCTTAGATACTATAGAACCTTAATTTATGATGATTTTTCACAATGTATCATGGCTAGAGAGCGAGGTTCGGGTTCACGGTCCCGAGACGTACGACGGGAGCATGAGCCCATAGAGGATGACGCCGACCCGTCCACTTCTCTTGGTCCCCTCCTAGAGTGGGATGAGCGGACTCTGTACTTCTCTCCCGTCCACCACATTTCTAAGAGGGTGCGACGTGGGATCACGGTTGGTAGGACACGCTGCCACAGTTCAGGCTGCGACACCTTGGGCGACCTGTACAAGATGTACATCGGCATTGACGGAGAGGTGAGACTTCTCTTGGAGTCTTGTGGACTGACTACGCTTTTTGAGACTTCGGAGGCCATGATTGCCTGTAGCGGGGGTCAGCACGTGGCTCGTGCCCTGGTGAAGATCTTTTGGGACACCACCAACACCTTCCACTTTCCTTGGGGTGAGATGATGGTCACCCCGACCGACTTCAGTCTTATTACGAGACTGGAGTTTAGCTCTGTTGCGCTGCCGTTTGACAACGAAATCATCGTCTTTTTGTTGGAGTTTGGTGAGTCCGACTCACCGCGGAAACAAACCCCGACCCAAGGAACCACTCGCAATAATTAAAATCATAAAGCATAAATAAATAATCACAAAGAAAATATAATGAATCTTACCCTCGAAGCGAGCTTCGCCCAAAAACCGGGGCTCTTACTTGAAAGCTACGAGCACGTCAAGCGTCGCGCCTCCGACGGTATCCACCCACAAATAGGCGAACACAACTTTAAGGTCTACTACCTGGGGGTGAGCGAGGTCCGACCAAAACCCGAGTGTTATATGAGTTTAAGAGTTTTCCCAATATTATGGAATGCTCTTTTTAACTCCCACTCAAGCATCATTTCCAATGCCCAAAGTTGGGTATTTATAGGGAATGATGGGAGTATGAAAATCTCTCCCATCAATGTGGGACAATGAGATTTTCACATTTTATTTTAAAGCTAAAATAAAATTATTAAGCAAACAAGTAATAAATCAACAAGTGTCAAGCATACATGAGAGAGTAGGTGAGGACCACTAAGAGATGGGGACCAAACTTGCTCCCCACTCTCTCCCTCACCTTGTGCCACATGGCAACCCTACTTACTCCATAATCTAATCTTCCCCTTATTCATGGCCCTATGGCCCGAGCCAAGTCACGAGCTAAGCCCGAGCCCGGCCCGAGCCCAGCCCGGCTGCTGCTGTGGCGTGGTGCGGCTGCGGCGCGACTGCTGCTGTGCCTAGCCGCGGCTGGCCGTGGCTGCTAGCACGGTGCGCCAGCTCGTCTTGCCCCTAGCATTCGGATGCTCAGGGCACTCCGATGCTAGGGGTATGTTCGGGAATATTGTTGATTTATTATTATTTTGCGCGTCTCGTCTTTTATCATTTAGACTCGACTTTCGACGATCGGTTTCGACGCTCTAAGCTCGAATTACCGACGTCTAATTATTTAACACTAGGGCGATGAATTAATTTCTTCTGAATTAATTCGTCGAGTTGGTTCGCATATATTTGCTTGGGTGTGACCCGAAGGGTTCAGTCAAGATTAAGCTGTAATATTAATTATATTAATATTACTGATCGGAAGCGGCCTCCACCCAGCCATTCCGATCACTTGACCTTACTGAATATATTAGCTTTCTAATAATTCTGAACCCGCTACCAGAATAATACACTTGTTCGAAGGACACTATTCCTTTTAATCTCCCACTTGTCCTTCCGGACAAGTGTGCATTTAGTGTATAGCCCTTATCCTATGTCTCTTCATGTCTCTTCATGAACTACAGAGTAAGATTACTAGTCATCTCTGTTACGTCCAGAAGTGTTTCTCGAAATCCGAGTTTGACTGTTAATAAGAAGATGATTTCTAAAATCCATCTGAGCACGGCCATGCATTTTTCACAGTCTCGCTCTTCGAGAGGCCTTGTAAACAACAAGACATGTTCCCTATTGTTAGTAGGGGGACATTTCCAGTCTTGTAGTGTAGCTTCTCTTACTAAGAGGACTCACCCGCCCAATATCTGTCTTTATAATCCCCAGTTACGGCAGACGTTTGGCGGATACCAAAGCGGACCAGTACTCAAACAAGAGATCTCCCACTATTCATGGTCAAAGGAAAAGAGTTCCGATAGTAATAATGAGAAAATACTTATGACGATTTTTAAATCTCTTAAAGTATCCTCATAGGTCGATCCAGTATGGTTCTAAACCAATACCTGTGCAAATGATTTATATCCTCACAGCACAAGAAACGGTGCTACAAATCATACTACACACTAATCTCTGATGGTCATCAATCGTCCACAAAATATGACCTTGATTAGGGATAATTTTCGATTAAAATATTCAATGTTCACTTAATAGGTGTTTCTTTATCCAAGCCATTCACTTGATACCCTATTTTGAATATTTATTAAAATCGAATGGACTCATTATTTAATTCTAAACCACAATTAAATAGTTTTGTGGAATATTTAGAAATATTTTATTCCACTATGAAACTTCACAATGTTTCATCTTATGATAAATGGTTTTTCCCAAATGTTTAAAGAGTAATACTCTTCATAAAACATTCATAGAAATCACACCCATATTTGATATGCTTGATTTCTTTCATGCAAT